TTTGCATGTAGCCTAAAATTGCTTTGGTCATCGTATTGTGAGAAGCTAATAGTGGCCCTTGCCAACCCAAAACAAGCCTTTAGCAATAACAATCAGTAGACTAAGTACAGACACATATAAACATTTGAGATGATTCCTGGAAACTCTTCATTGAGAAACAAATTCTTCCAATGAGCTTTAGTCTGGGTTATCAAGGCTGGCTGGCTGATAAAGAGAACATCTTTCTCTTGGCCTTAATAAAACCTGTCAACTCTGACAACACTGCTGTATTAAAATATACGGCTAAACCTCATCGCTGAAATAATCTGGAGCTTTTTTGCACCCCTGAAGAAATCTTAAGATTTAAGCTTTTGTCCTGACCGCCTTATAGTATTGGAAAAGAATAAGGAAACATAAGAAAGCTTTAAACAAACACATAGAGAGGAACCAAAGTTTTCCTGACGGGTCTGAAAGGTAACTGGGAATCTGCATCTCACCTTGGGATGGTGACACACTTTGTGTTGCAGTTTTGTGTGGTGATAGCTTTCTCCAGTTCCAGCTGACCCGTCTTCTTTAGTTTCTTCACTAGGCTTTTCACAGCTTTTTCACACCATTTCTCCTCTTGTCCGTTCTGTTCACCGCCCCCTGCTAAACCCGGACCACTTGTTGACTTCCTCCAGCCCAAGAGCCTCTTCACCACAGGAGGGGTGAATGGCAAGATGGACGACATCTTAACCGCTGAGAGTCTCCAGTAGATTTGGTTAAGCTCTCTCTCGCCAACAAAGTGGGAACTGGAGCTACAGCTCTGGGCCCTTGCCTTGAGGAGCCCCTTTAGTGAATTGTGAGTCACTGGGTGGGAGCCAGCGCTAGCAGTGTTCAGTCAAAAGATTCAAACACCTTTAAAAAATAAAAATAAAAATCACAAAGTTAGAAAGAGCATGAGAATATATTTATAAAAACTATGCAATGATATTAGTATTTAAGCAGAGCAACAACCAAATAAAACTACATCCAAGCACAACGTGTTTGTTTACAAGTTAGTAAACTACATTAAAAACTGCGAAACATTGGTCAGATCAAATTCAGGTCAAATTGGGAAGTTTGAGTCACAGGTTCACAAAAGCAGCACCCTGTGGTTGTTACAGCTTTGACATACTTTGGATTGTGTTGCAATGAGTGTTTTTAGCTTCTATGTCCAAATTAAATGTTTTGCACTCTTCTTATAAATGATGATCAGCAAGTTAAATAGCTATTTTAAGATAGATAAATAAGCACAGCCTATTTTTTCTAAATTAAACTAGTATTTCTCACATTATTTTGAGGCCTGTCACTCAGCCCTCAAAATAATAAAAAATAAATAAACACAATCCTAACGAGGAGAACAGTCCTCAAACAAACACCTGATTGGTCTGATCTCTTCATCTCAATATTTAATTAAAACCTGTCTCTTTAATTAAATATTGATTAATCTGAGTGATTTATCAATAAGACAGAATCACAACAAATGCTAGAGATAACAGCTCGGTTTAAGCAATAAATCAAACCCAATATACACGTTGATGGCAGGTGGCCACGGAGCTTTTCTAAACTTATTAACAAAATAAAATTATTCTTTTCAAAATCTAAAACAGCGTCAGTGCACCGGTGTGGAACTAGACATTATTTATTAGTCTGTCAGCAGCAGTCCAAGCTAACTGGCTTTTCAGCTGACATAGTTGTAGGACTTTTGTTTTCTATCAGAAATACCAACAGATCCAGAAGAAAACTCAATTGATGCTGCTACCTGACTGTAATCGGACAGTATTATTAGTGACAGGGGCGATAGAGCTTTAATTACCGCCACTGGAGAGGCCCGGCTGTTAGCTACCTGGAGGGGGCCTACTGAACTCAAAACAACATTAGCACTGCTAGCATTAGCTTCCAAAATGCACAAGCAATATCTTTTCAAATAAAGGGTGACGAAGAAAAGCTAAGACTTTTTTCTATCATACACGGCTGATTAACAACAAAAAAGTATAGCTAAAGGATCTGACGTTAGCTTAATGGAGCTAGCAGTCAGCTTGTTATCAAAAATCCTTTTGTTATGATCAGCGGAAAACCCTCCCAGTACGCAACAGTCCAGTGCGGCGACAGTTTCACACAAAACCCGGCTTATTTAGACCGAGCCTTTTAAACCCGGTCAGTGGTTTTAAATGCAAAGCTGTTTCATTTCAATCCAGCTACCCGTCGACTCCTGGGATATCCATAGCAAAGTGTGTTAGCATCTTGGACGAACTCTTCCAAACTGCTGAGGCTCCCGCTGGCTAACGGAGTAACATCGCCGCAGCTTCAAAACAACTCCATTCCAAGCCGAATAATTAAAGAAAGCATTTAGATAGTTACCCAGGTTTCAAGTCAAGGGAGCCGCTTCAAGAGTGCTTATCGCGTGGAGACATTAAACCCACTAAAATTATCCTTTGGGTGCAGTTTAGAAGCTAAATCATCTAGGGATCCTCTAAAGTTGCTACCAGCGCTACAGTTGCTCGTTAGCTCAGTTAGCGACGCCGGGGAGCAGGTTACAAACGTCACAATGACGCAATAACTCCTAATCCATCCCCGCTGAACGACTAAAATAAATATTAATGGAATATCAAAACAAGGAAACAATTGTTTGCAGTATGTTTATTGTCAATCTAACACGCAGTTGTCTATATCTGCAATGTTACAAAATGAAAGAAACCATGTTGGCGATATTTAATATTTTATCTGAGGTAAAATTGTTTGACTTTACTAGGGTTCATTGCAAAGGATCATACATTATTGGTCACGGTCTAAAACTTCATCATACTTTTACCCACGTATAAGTAAAAATTATCCTCTAAAAAAATTACAAAATTAAAAAACTATTTGGAAAAAAGGCTACTCAAGTACTGACAAGCTGATGCACTTACTACCAGTAGTCTAATAAAAAAAAAAAAAACGAATTGGGAATTAAATTTTTTTTTAAGCATACATAGCCTAATTAATATATTCTATTAATAATAGTGTTGCGCCGATGCCATTTTTTGGCCCCGATACTTGGCTGTGCAGTATCGGTGATACCATACCGATGCCATCTGTTTGAAATTGATTTGTGTGTATATATATATATATGAAGAACTGCATACTACTTGGATGTAAAATAATGGCCATCATGGCTTTGTTAAGCTGCTGCCTACCTTTGTGAAGAAGGAAAAAGACTAATATAAAGTGAATCCAGTAGAACTTTTTACTGCCTACCTGGAATGGGTGACAATAGATGAATAAACCTTTGGCTCTCAAAATGGTATCGGTGCCCTATTTGTTGGTACTCGCCGATACCGATACCACCATTTAGGTGCTGGATCGGGGCCCCGCCTGACACTGGTATCGGTGCAACACTAATTAATATATTCTATTAAATGTTAAAAGGGCAATATTATCGCCATTACTGTAAATATGTAGTAGAAATTTTACACATTCAGTAATAAAATGTCAAAGGGTATGGTATTGCAGGATGGTAATTTAAGAAGAGGAATGACTTTTAGGATTTTTGAGTTATAAAACTTTAAAAATCCATGGTTACATTTTTTAGAATAGGTTAAATTATGGTATACTGTTTACTGTAAGTGAACGTAACCTCCAAATGACACTACGGACTCAGCAGATTAAAAAAACAAAACATTTGACCAATAAGCTTTGAGTACAAAAAAGAGGAGTGTCTTTCAATGTTGCATATTTGTTTAGGAAAAAATCTTGTTTTCATTAGGTGCAGTTAATTATCCAAAATTGGTAGACTAGCCAGAAATGTTAGTAAGAGTACTGATATTTATCAGATTTTTACTCAAATAAAAGTAAAAAGTACAATGCTGTAAAATTACTCATAAAAGTACATGTAAAAAAAAAATAAAAAAAATACTGTATTAGCTGTAACTGTGTAAATGTAACTACTTACTACTCACCTCTGCCAGGATGTGTTAAAAGTTGTCAACGGTATGATTTCAGTGTATTGTTTTCCTGCTTTACCACACCTGGTGCTGATAATCACAGTTCAGTAAAGGCTTGTCATTTAGCCATAACTATACACTATATCAGATTTCATAATCACTTAACCACAAAATCAGTAATTAAACTGTGACTATTTATATGGACCCTTTATTCATAAATATGTTGTAATCAATGACATTATTAAGTATAATATATATATCATGTTACATGTATTTCTAATTTAATAGCAGTGAAATAAAGGAGTCATGAAATGCAAAGGCTTTGGGCCTCTATAATATTACATATCAACTACTGTATACTCAATATCTTTTGGCAATATTTAGGATTATAACTCATTGGTTTACATAATACATTTTTGTTTCAGCTCATACGCTTTATTTGTCCCTAAATCCCAATGAAAATAACCTGTTGTATATTCTACAGTTCTCTCCTGAAAGACATGTAAAAATCTGGATGACTCTAAATGTTGTACTTTTGAAAGCAGACAAAACAGAAGTTATTGCATTTGGACCAGAGCCTTTAAAAAAATAAGCTAATTATTCAGCCACTTGCCTGTGTACATTTGAATAAATATTTATTTATTGATATCCAGTTTAATCTTATTTGCAAATGCATACATATATATTTCAATTATTGGCTATTTATTTTTTGTTTTGTGGCAAATTGGGAATTCCATACCCTCCCACCAAACAGCATGAGCAGCTCCTCCCTTTACTCAGGTGTTCAATTAGGCTCAATTGGCCTCCCCTGGGGCCTTTATAGGAGGCCACAGTTGCATGTCCTGGTATCTGGTTTCTTTTGATTTGCCTGTGGCAATGGGTAGTTGGTTATGGCGATGTGTGGTTTTATTGGCGGTGTACCTTCAAGGTAAGATTTTTTTTTTTTTTCTTTCAGATTTATTTTTTTTTACAAATGGCTATACTTGTTCTTATGGTTGTCAATTAACTTTATTTTACCCTTTTATGTAGCTGAAGGAGTTCTTAAGCGTTGCCAAGTGGGCTATTATCTGTGTGGGGATGGCTCAGAATGCATCTCCCATAGATATGTCTGTGATGGGGATAAAGACTGTGAAGATGGTTCTGATGAACAGAATTGTGACTCTGCATGTGGTTCGGGTATGTTTTTAATGTTTGTGTTTAACTTAATCATGACACAACCTGAACATAATGATGCTTTAAATACTACAGATAATTAGGTTTTGATTAAAATGTTTGAATACATCAGTGGTATTCATAGCTCAACACCTCGGCCAGTGTTTTTCAACCCTGGTCCTGAAGGCATACTTCCCGCATGCCTTGGAGGTTTCCAAGCTTTCACACCCCTGGTATCAATTGATGGCAGATTGAACAGGGTTTGCTGAGCTGCAATCATTTTATTGACTATTGGAACAGGAAAATGTCAAACTCCACCCACCCCAACCATGCATGTAACAATTTAACTGGCTAATTCAACAGGTTTGCATATGAAACTAGAGTCAAAGATCTTGTGCTTTCCTTATAAACGGACATTTTTGCTTGGTCCATCTCCATACAAACTAGTTTCCAGAAACTATATTAACCTATAAAGACAACATGCTTGAGTCTTGCCTGCACTTCTAACTTCATGATTTGCCAGTAACATTTCTCCACTGAGATCACTAAAGTCAATCAACATCAGAAATATTTCTATTGGTCTTAAATGTCTTTAAAGGATAACTTTATCACCATTTTCAATATATCCCCTAAAACAGATCAGTTCCAGTGTGCCCATGGAAAGAAATGTATAGACAAGGACCAGGTATGTGATGGTGAGTCTCAGTGTCAGGATCGCTCGGATGAGGAAAATTGCCTGAAACATCCTGAAGACTGTGCTCACCACTGTGACGACAAGAGCCAGTGTCTACCTGCAAGCTTCATCTGCGATGGCGAGAAGGACTGTGTTGATGGCACTGATGAGGCAAACTGTGGTATGTGGATTGTGTTTAATCTCTTTGGCTCTATGGTGTCAAGTTTTCATCTTGACTGTTTGTTTCCCAGCTGACCATGAGAAGATGGGGGCAACTGAGAGTCCTGTACAGGTTCCCTCTGGACTGTCTCATCCTCTCAGGTGTGGTCTTGGCTCCCAGATGTGTGAAGACAAGTCAGACTGTGTCCATTACAGATACGTCTGTGATGGGGAACCAGACTGTGTTGATGGCTCTGATGAGAAGGATTGTTCTTCAGAATGTGGAAATGGTAAAGTTGTCAAACCTGTGTAAAGGCAAATATTGGCTGTGTGAGCCTCATTAAAGAAACTAGGATGAGGGGTATCTTGTTACAACTGCTCTCCCCTAATCCATTCCTTTTCTTGCCATCTTTGTCTGGGGGGGTATTTGATCCTTCCTGCAGACCAGTTCCAGTGTGCCCATGGTAAGATGTGTATAGAGAAAAGCAAAGTGTGTGACGGGGTACCACAATGTCAGGACCATTCAGATGAACTTGAATGTGCAAAGCGCATGGAGGGCTGTGCTCACATGTGTGACGACAACAGCCGCTGTGTCCCTGACAGCTTCCTGTGTGATGGGGAGAAGGACTGTGGTGATGGCAGTGATGAGGCAGCCTGTGGTATGTCTATATGATCTGACGATTTGTGACAAAGTTTTTAGCAAGAGTTTAATTTATTTGGCCTTCCTGTAGCTGATGTTAGGTGTAGCACTTCTGAATTTAAGTGCGTCAGTGGCCAGTGTGTTCTGGCCTCAATGCATTGTGATGGTCACCCTGACTGCTGGGACCGCTCTGATGAGGAGGGCTGCACCAAACCACCAGAGTGTACAACCAAACACCGCTGTCCACACAGCAAGGAGTGCCTGGTGCAGGAGTGGATCTGTGATGGTGACCAGGACTGCAAAGATGGCTCGGATGAAAAGGTAAGTGTTTAATAAATGACCTGAGTGGTCTCTTAAACCTGAATTTTTAGGACATCTTGCCAAGCTCTTAATTTGGCTTAACCTATATACAAACCATTGTCATTGTGATATTATCCTGCTTTAGGATTGCCCTGTGCTTCCAGTCAGCTGTGGAAGCTTCCAGTGGTTATGTAAATCAAAGACTTTGTGTATTCCTGGAGTCTGGAGGTGTGATGGCATGAGGGACTGTGATGACGGTAGTGATGAGACTGAATGTGAGTTTTGGGGGGTTGCAGTACTTTTAACGAACAAATCACTGAAGGTAAACGCAGTTTTAGGATGACTTTGCACAAGACAGGAGTGCCTGATGTATTAATATTTCAGCCGATAAAATGTTGCGCAATGCTTATTGTATGTTTACTATAAACTTGTAAGGTGGAACAAAAGCATGCCCTGCTTACAAGTTCCAGTGTGGAAACCAGGAGTGCTTGGAATCAGCTCTGGTGTGCAATGGTGTTACCAACTGTGCTGATGGTTCAGATGAGGGAGGCAGCTGCCAGATGGCCTGTACAGCTGATGATGACAACCGCTGCTCACAGGGTTGCTACAGCACACCCCAGGGACCGGTGAGGAGCAACTTTAACTGTTTAGATCTTCCCACCTTTACTTCAATAATGCATGCTGGATAACAGTAAAACTTTTTTTTTTTGTAGCGTTGTCTGTGTACAAAAGGGTACAGGCTTATGGAAGATAAGCACACATGTGCTGACATAGATGAGTGTGAACCCCAGGCACAACGTGTATGCAGCCATCTGTGTATCAATACACCTGGGTCATACCGATGTGAGTGCCATCCTGGCTTTATAATGGAGGCAGATGGATACCAATGCAAGATCACAGGTAAAGTATTTTCAGTATGCAATTTAGAAGGCTGTTCCAACATTAGTAAATATAAGCAAGACTTTTTTTTGGGGGGGGGGGGGTTCTAGTTTCCTTCATACAAGGGCTAGAATGCACAAAGCTTCTGCAAACATTCTTAGTAGCTGATCTCTTTATAGGTGAACCATTCCTGTTGATGTCAGTCCAAACTGAGTTGTACATGTATGGCCTGCGCAGTAGAAGCCTTGACATCTTGGCATCTTCTGCCCAAAAGGCGATCTTGTCTATAGACTATGACTGGAGGGACCAGAAAGTCTTCTGGGTCAGTGTGGACACAGAAACAATCAGGTGGTCTTCCATGGACCAGAAAACTGCAGGAATCTTGATTAAAGGTACTTGGTGTGGTCACTTGGTATTACAACTGACAGGAACAGATTTAAAGACTTGCCCTCTTGTTTCAGGTGTCCGGGCCGATTCTGTAGCTGTGGACTGGCTTGGAAGGAACCTATACTGGATTGATGGTGTGAATAGTCAAATAGTTGCTGTCAAACTTCTCAAAACTTCTGTCAAGTCATTGGACCAAAGTATCATCCTGGAGGAAGACTTGGATCAGCCTCGCTCTTTGGCTCTGCTACCACAAAAAGGGTTGGTGTTTTATTTGTATAAAGTCTTTAAGAATAAACTTTAGAGATGACATTCCTACTTGTCTTCTAGGTTAATGTTTTGGACAGAAATTGGTAACCTTGTAAAGATTGAACGTGCTGGAATGGATGGGTCTGAGAGAAAGGCAGTGGTAAACTCTAGCTTGGGCTGGCCAGGTGGCATTGCAGTGGATATGCTTTCAGAAAGGATTTTCTGGACGGATGAAAGGCTGGGTGCAATTGGTTCTGCCACACTGGATGGTGATGAAATTAAGGTGAGTGTTAAAATTACTTTCAGGCTTAACTGGAGACTTTTCACTTTTCCAGTAAAGGTTGGCTTAAAAGATGCTAACTGCATTAGATTTGCAAGATGGTGAGTTTTATTGTTATAACTTAAAACTATTCAGCAATTTAATTTGTACAAAAACATATCGTCTCTCAGGTCTTCCAGCTGAAGGAAACTACAAATCCATTTTCTGTGACGGTATTCAATGACCTGCTATTCTGGTCTGATGCAAAGAAAAGGGTAGTCCAAGCAGTTGATAAACTCTCTGGTAAGAACCGACAGGTTATACTGAAGAGACCAGGACAACCTTTTTCTGTGAAGGTGAGATTTTTACTACAGAAGTTAATGGTAGAATAAATGTGTAGGTGGATGCAAACCTTGGTGAACTGTAAATTGGTTTCACAAACTGAAGGTAAACTTTGGTAACACTTTGTTTCCAGATCATCCACCCTATAATTCAGATGGATACGGAGAGCCCTTGCAAGAAGATGGCCTGTTCCCATATATGCCTGTTGGCACCTAGACGCAAGGCTGTCTGCAAGTGTCCCCCTGGTCTTTCGCTGGCTGAAGATGGTCTGACCTGTTCCAGTCTAGTCAAATCGACATTCTTGCTGCTCTTGTCACCACCTACTGTGACAAAGGTGTGTTCTCTAGAAGTCTAAATGACAAATTTATAACATGTTGGGCCTTTTTTTTTTTTTTTGATTTTTAAATGGTTTAGTACTGGGCACCCAGGAAAGAATGGTGGTTGGCTAACATTCAGATTTATTTGAATAATGTCCATACAAAAGTGCTTTTACTTGATGGAGGAAAGATTTAAAAATGACTATGCATAATTGAATGTACATTGTAAACTTATCACTCTTGTTTAGCTGTCAGCTTTGTATTCCAATCTAAGGAATCAAATGTCTGCAAAACTCTGGGTTTGGGTCATTCCAAATCCAAGAGGAAAAACGGCTTCAATTGCTAGTTCAGTATAACCCTGAGGGCTTCCTTAGAACAAGGAATGTGGCTTGTTCCACTCTGTTCTTGTGCTTTCTCCACAATGTTACAATCTTAACTGGTGCAAGATGTTAGACTGCAGCACTAATGCAAACCCTCTCAAATTTTTCTGCAGATCTACTTGCAGTCCCAACAAGTGAATATAAAAGGCTGGCCTGAACACTTGGCATTACAGATCCCCAGCATTGGCGAGACGAGGCTCTTGGATTACAGCACTCGTGAGAACACCCTCATTCTGACGGGTGACGATACAACTTCAGTTAACTCATACAAGCTGAAAGACAAAACTTTAGTTGCTCAGGGCCAGCTTCTGAAACTGCTGGATGACCAAATCACTGCCGTGGCACTTGACTGGGTAACCCTAAATGTATACTGGAGCAGCAACAAACAGACCCGGCTGCATGTCACTTCAAAAACTGGGGCATACACAGCCATTCTCATTAAAGAGGGGCTCACCGGAGTGAGCTCTATTGCCCTTCATCCTCAAACTGGAAAAATGTGTTTTACTAATCTAGATTTAAAAGTTCCTGGCAAAAATGCTGCAATAGAATGTGCTCACATGGATGGTGGAGAGCATAAAGTTGTTTCTAAGCAAGCATTTCAGCCTGCATCTCTAGCCTTTTCCAGTAATGGGGATACAATCTACTGGGCTAACACAGGTACAACTTCTTGGAAGATAATGGATTTTTTTTTTTTCAAAGAATCTACATAAAATGACCTCTAAATTTGAACAGGATCAGGAACAATTGGCTTGATAAAGACTGATGGCTCTGGATATCAGGAGCTAGAGGCTGGTGCTGGTCTGAGTGCTGTGGCAATTGGGGACAACGTGCCAATCTGGATGACTGTTGATGGTAATATACATCTATAAGAGTTTGAGAAACCTACACACTTCATTTGTTTTAATGTCTCAATATAACATGAAAAACTTTTTATAATCATCCCCAGACATGACAAGACTATGGTACAGAGAAGATCAGCAACAGAAGCTATGGTTTGAGGTTGACTCAAAAGTAATGGACTTGAAAGCCTTTAAGTCCACCCAGTCAGGTAAGCGAACAAATTCCCATGGGATGCAGTGTCACCCATAAAATCTAAAATTCAGTTATGTTCTGTAAAATTTCAGGTTCCAACCAGTGTGCAAAAAACAATGGCAACTGTGAGCACCTGTGTCTTGCCACTCCATCAGGCCGGACATGCAACTGTGCCCATGACTTTATTGCAAAAGATGCAACCTGCAGCCCCAGTCAAATCTGCTCACCTGATACCAGACAATGTCTGGACCAAACCTGCCTGCCAGCTGAGAAATTCTGTGATGGTCATGCTGACTGCTCTGATAACTCAGATGAAAACTGTATGAATACTCTATTTTTATCATTACTCATCCTTAAGCGCTGAACTGAAACCTGGCTTTTCTTTTAAGGTTCTGGTGTTGAGCAGGGATCGGGAACCAAAGCAGCTTCTCCTAGAAGTCCTCAAAGCACATTGTCTCCTCATACAGTACCCCCAAAGGAGGGGAAAAACTCCCTGGAAGATGGCAGTGAGATCAGGAACTTGGAAGCTCAGCAGTGTGACCAGGATCTTTGCAATGGGAATGGAAAGTGTGTTGAAACCAATGGGGTCAGAACATGTGAATGTTTAGATGGCTACACTGGTGTCTCCTGCCAGGATGATGTGAAGAGCATGCAGGGCCCAATAATCTATGGTGCAGCGGGTCTATGTGGCATAATCGTCATCATTGCTGTGATGGCAGTGGTTCTCAAAAAGAATGCTGCATCAAGGTTTCTAAATTTGTTCTATATTGTCTTCCATGTAATATAGCAGCACAAGTTGTTGCAGATGTGACTCTTGTAGAAGTGTGACTAAAGTAATCTCTTAAATACAGGAGTACCCCAGAAGCAACAATGGATACCAGCATGTCTGACCTGGAGAAAAAAGTTGAATCACCCAGCACAAAGAATGCCCAGGCAGCTTCGGAGAAGGAGGTGAACATTGTGGAATCTAATGGTGGCTTGTTTAAGTTGCATTTAAGCTTGTGACTTATTTCTTTTTCTAATCTTTTGCAGGAACCAGTATCTTCTGTGGATTAAAGAAAATTAACTTTTAATAAACTGTTGGCATTTTCAATTTGCATCTGTTTCTTTCAAAGCATTAAACGGTCTTGACACTGCTAGCATTTGTAATTGCACACAGCATTTAATTGGTTTACATGAAATGTAGTTGGTTTAGGATTGAAGCAACTGGCAAACCAAAAAGAAAATATTAAAAGGGTTCCATAGACTTCAATGTATGATAGTAAATTGAATTATAAGTTAAATCTCATCATGCCCTTTAAAAGACTAGAATGTACCAGAAGTGCTCACTTAATCCAGGAACAAGGTCTAAAATTAACATTTTATTTTCTTTGCGTAATCCTAAATGCACACAACTGCGTGCCATCACCAAGTGTTTCAAGGGGTGAGGGTTGGCATTAATCAAGGTTGTACAGTAGAAGCTACAATTCATAGCTGTGTATATTGACTGGCTATTTGAGGGAAAAATTTAAATGACTGAGATCAAGCTAGGTGAAAAGGAGAAATTTGAATTTAACATAATTGTACCAAGTAGCTTGTCTGGTGGTTTTGCAGGAGGTTAACTTGAACTATAAAGTCAAACAAGTGGTTTAAAAGGTTTCCCCAATACAAATTCAGAATGTACAACACTGAAGCTGGACCACAGAATTAAAATTGGTAGGCAAACTAAAAGGGGTTTTTTTTTTTTTTTTTTTTCACAAGGATGTAATGTCTTTTAGCCAGCGTATGCCTGATGTCCCAGAATCTTCAAACACTGGCATACATGGTATGGTTTTATTTTTTTCCCCCAATTCTGGCCATATAAAGCATAACAAGTCCAACAGCCTAACTTATAACGCATGGCAGCGAAATACCACCAGCCAGTGTCCTGAGGGGGGGGGCAGCAACGCACCTGGCCTGCATAAAGATTTTATCCAGTATTACCAGTGGTCTTTGTAATAGGAATAATCGTACAAAATTGGTTTGTTTACCTCAACTCTTCATGTGATAAGTTATGAAGTTGCTCTTGATTGACCTAGCTGTTTACTGCCTGCAAAAGGTTTGCAAGTCTCAGCAGATTTAGCATGTCTGCTAGGAAGTTTGTTGGCCATAGGTGTGAACACAGGGAGGATCCATCACACTCACCTTCATGCTCACTATGATGGGGATGAAGTCTGGTATGTGAACAATCAGATAACTTTCCTGTAACTTAAGCTCCACATATGGCATACGCTCCCATATGTTGGGAAAGTTTGAATATGCTCAAAATTTCTTGACATATTTGCTGTATGACGTGTTTCGGCGTGCTCATAACTTATACACAACATTGCTTATCCGTTTGCCAGCATTTTCCCCAGATTTTTTGTACTTCAGGCACACACTGGTCTAAATCAAGGTGTGACGGGCTTTAATGTTGAAGCTTGGCCTATTTTTCAACGTAGTCCTGTTTCTCTTACTGTGATTAACTATATGGTGCTCTCTGTCATCTTCTGACATGGGAGCTGGCTCAGAGCTCATCTGCCTGGTTGTATCTTTCCTGAACCAGGATTGACAGTTACAGGTACCTTTTCTGTATCTGCTGCTTTTTCTATGTCAGCTTTGGTCTCCTTGAACCCCAGTCGGCCTCAGCAGATGGACGTTCACACTGAGCCTGATTCTGCTGTAGGTTTCTTCCTGTTAAAAAGGAGTTTTCTTCTCTGTCGCTAAAAGCATGCTTGATGTGAGGGATTGCTTTCGAGTCAATGAGCCAATGCAAACAGGTGGTTATCCTTAAACGTTTAACCAATCTGACTGTATGATCTGTTGAATTGTCTCTGAAAAGTGCCTTGAGATGACATGGGTTGGGAATTGGCAGTAAATTGAATTGATTTGAATTACTTTAGTGGTCTCGACTAGGCCTATCCAGTGTTCCCACTGTTTAACTGGTGCCTCCAGCAGGATGGAACACCATGCCACAAAGCTCAGATCATCTTTTTGAACCAGTTCACTAATGTCCTCCAGTTACCTGATTCTCTATGGAATTTAGTTAAACATAATTAGAGCAGAAGTATTTTCACACTCAAGTTATTTCAGTTACTATGCTCGGACCGTCCTCGTCACAGTTTCTAAAGGGTAGTTTAAATGGGACTTAAGAGGACTATGATCAAAGACATGAGGAATGTCTGGCACATTCAACAGGGTAGTAGCAAGATTAACTCGGTAAAATACCAGACTGTATTTAAATGCATTACATGCAAACTTTGAAGAAATAAATCTGGAAAATCTCTGTATTGTAAAGCTCAAACTGAAACAACATAAATGGTGCTCAACCTTCTACAACTTATCTGAAAACAACTGGAGATTTAAACAATAAAAAAAGTTTCTGATTAATAACCTAAAACTGTTTTATTGATAGCATTGCGTTAGACAATGGGGACTTAGATACTACATACTTGAAGCTGAGGAATATTTTGGTTTTGCATTATCTCCTTAGCACTCTAGTGTATCATTAGGCCCAAACTGTGACATCTAGATGTATTTAAAGGCAGGACAAAATTCTTCCTATTGTTTACACTAAACCCACAAAGCATTTTGGTTATCAAACCACTTCTGGTGCATTCTTATTTTACAGAAAGAATTTTAAATACTAGGATGCAGCTTCAATGGTTTTATTTTAATTTTTTTTGGTTCAGGGTGGATGTGAATTCTTAACCCCCATGTGTGAGTGAACAGCCATATAAAAACATGCATAGCTCAGATGTTCAGTCACTTAGGATATAGAAGACTCAAACTCTTCTTGGACATATACTGAAGGTAAGCATGAAAAACGTTCCTTTTTGTAGTACAGGCTTTATGATACAGAAACATTTGTTAGAATATATATGGGTCAGAATACATTTAGCATTGAAGTTGATGTCTCTAATTTTATTTTTAGATGATTAACTTGAGTTTTTTTTTCAGACTAGGATACATTTTTTGAGAATTTAATCGAAAAAAAGATTAACTTTAAATCTCATATTTTCTTATATCTACGAAATGGTCCAAATTATGTATACAGTCTCAAATATATTCACCCGCAGATATTAGGTTAAATGTTAAGCAACTTGAAGCAAAGTCACCATAAGCCTCAGGCAAAACTCATCCTGGGTATTTAAAAAGACCTCTTGGCCAAAATTCTAGAATTCTTTTAAATCAAATTCCTGAAACAGATTTAATCTAATAATCAGTTTATTTATACTTTCCTTATTTACAAAACATCATCTCAAGGGACTTTTTAAAAATCAGTTTAATCAGACAATTCAGACAGACTGGTTAAAAGGTCCGCTATCACTCACATTGTCAATGGCTGGAAGAATGGAAGAAATCCCTCATTCAGAGCAAGCATCTATTAGCAGTAGAAAGGAAACCCTTGTTTAACAGGAGGAATGGGAATGCTTATTAAGCATGGTCCATAAATATTCTTTAGAATTGCATTTAGTTGCTGCTAGTGAAATGATGACCTGAACAGTTTTTCTTACATTACAGTACACTGACAGAGTGTTTATATTGTTTTTGGAAAGAGAAAAGAGGAAAATGGAAGTTGTGAGGGCTACGCTTTGGGCGGTGTTTACGTTGACAACGGTGACGTCTAAACCGGTGAGGAATTGTGCTGTAAGACTTTCTTTCACTACAGAATAAATGAACCAATGACTTTCATTTTTTAACAGATTTGTTTAGATGTGGGAGATGATTTATCAAAATCATCAGAGTCCAGCGAGTCAATGTCATCAGAGGAGACGGACCAGTTAAGCCCTTCACAGTCTGTGTTCATAGACACAGGCATTCAGACAGACCGCCTGGACTCCAGTCATTCACCCACCCTTGACACTGCAGCAGTGCCAATGCCAGAAGACCCACAGACATCCACAGACATTAATGCTTTACAACTCAACCCCTGTCAAACTGCTTTCCATATAGGCATTTCTCCTGACACTGCAGGGGACTGCCTTGACGCTGTTGTGATCATGGAACCTAAGGGCACCAGCACATATGAGGGCCCTCAGCAGACAGCCACATCACCCAATCCCATGCAGGTCATTACACCAACACCTCTGTTGTTCTCCACAGACACATCCTTGATTATCCTTGATGAAGACACCCCTGCAGAAACTTCTGATACTTTTACCACCCAGCTGACAAACCCTGTGCAGGCTCCCCCTCGAGGAGACAGTAGATGAGCCTGATTGAACAACATAGTATTCTAAACGCTAAAGCTTTGATTTTACATTTTCATTGGTGGGAATTTACTCATTATGGTTCCAGTGTAGGTAACTGCTACAAACATAAAAAGAAACATTTGACCTACAGTAAAGGTAGCATAACTGAACCGCTTTATTAGTTGAATCAATACATGGAAAAAAAGAAAAAGATGAAAAAAAAAAAAACATCTGTCTTGTTTGCTTTTTTCACGTAGAACAATAAAGTATAACTCTATGGAAATCTGTCATTGCAATTCATTAAACTACACATAATTACAATTTTTAATTGTGTCCTTGAATATCATGAATTTAAAACAGCAAACACAAGACAAACTGAAGCAATTAAATATTAAGCAATAAATACTCAATAGCTCCATTTATAACAGTTGCACTTTGTCAAATGCTCCACAATCAAACCACCTTGGGAACAAGAGAAAGGTACATCAATTTATCAGCCATCTAAGATGATGATACATTTAAATAGAGGTCTTTCACTTGAAGGGTAAATTAATTTTAATCAAACATGGGTTTATTTTTTCTAAACAGAACCATGTTGAGTATAAGAAAGCTGAATCTTTGCCGAGCTTGACTGATCTTTGAGAAGTGCTCATTGGAGATCCCAGCAAAGGCAACTCACTTATTTTCTTTATTTTAAGAAAATAGTCAATAATCGCAGGATTACACATTAAAAATATTTTCTCATATTGATTTAATTTCAATCCGTTAAATATAGCCTCTGTGGCAACAAAATATCCAAAATAAAAGTCCGAAGCTTTTTCTGTCTCTGTCTATAAACACTCTGCTACATCCTCAGAGAAAGGCAGCCACATTGTCTTTGCTTTGCTAACAATCTTTATCATTTAGAGGTTTGACGAGTGGAATGTATTTTTAGCAGTCTTAGTGCATATTTGCAATATAAGGCCTTAGGCAAATATTTATTATTTACTATTATCCAATATTTTATAAAGTTAAGGTTTAAACATTTGTTGATTTTTATGAGCTGCTTTTATGAGGATTAAATCTGTTAATACTAAACAGTGTGCTGGATTGAAAATTGTTCTCTGCAGCTGTAATGGAGCACTATATGATGCCATGTTAAAACACACTAGTTAAAAATAATCTTCAATTTTTGCTGCACTTTTTGTTCTGAATGAATGGAAACATGTCACCAATACCTAGTACTATTTATTAAGCTGATCGTAACATGGGCATTGGAAATACTGACACCCTCAACAACTGAATAAAGCATGAATCTCAAAATTTAACATGGAGTCTTAGGCTCAACTGCTTTGCTTTGCTATAGTATTCACCCTCCACCTTTAATCTATTTTCTTACATTTTAACATGTAAATCTAATTCATTTTAAATCTTTTCTAAGTGATAGATCTGCAAAAAAATATTTAAATTATTAAAAAAAAATAATAAATGGCATGGAAATATGTCAAATTTGCTATGATGCCCTCAAAAAGATTAACTGCATCCAATTACCATCAAAAGTCACGTTATCAGTGACATGAGGTCTACATATGTGTATAAGTGTCACATCATCTATCAGTGTCACCACACCTGTTATGAAAAGCCCCACAAGCTAAAAAAAAACACTAAGCGCCATCAAATCCAACTGCTTCCATTGGAAAGCACACAGTACCACAGGACACCCGCTAACAGGGCTGTCCGCTAAAACTCACAGACCGGGCAAGGATAGCATTAATCTGAGAACAGAGACCAAATGTAACCCTGAGGTAGTGCAGACTTTGGAGTAGATAAAGTATCTGTTCATAGTACCATAATAAGCTGTACCCTCCACAGTTCTGAGCTCTATGGAAGAAATTCAAAACAAAAGCCATTACTTAGGTCTTAAATAAGGGTAGTTTGGCTAAAATGCTTATGGGAGACTCAATGAATGGAGCAGGGTGTTATGGTAAGATAAAACTAAAATATTCATTTAGACTACAAAGTAAAACCCTTCCTTTGGGAATGGTTTTCAGCGGCAGGGATTAGGAAACTGGTCCAAGATAAAGAGAGGCTGATGGTGCTGAATACTGGGATGTTCTTGAAGTAAACCAGCATCATTTTATGACTGGGATGGTTCACCTTCCAACAGGACAGACATGTCAAAATGGCCGATTCAAAGTCCAGCCGCCAATTCAATCTAGAATGATTAAAAGGTAGCTGTTCACCCCAATCAACTTGAGGAAGCAGTCTGCAAGCTCAGAGAGATTTAGCTAAAGCAAATTGCAGCTGTAAACACGGCCAAAGATGGCTGCCAAGTTTAGGGGTGGGTGTGGACGAAGCAGGTGGCAGTTTTCTGTCCTTTTGTTTGCTTCTCAATTAGCAGAATTATACATCTTCAAAGTTGTAACAAGAGGTGGGTAGGATTCCCAAAAATTGTAATTAAGAGTAGCACTACTTTAATTTTTTTTTACACAAAGTAAAAAGTAGCCATCCAAGAAATTACTCAAGTAAAAGTAAATACGTAAAAAAGGCTACTTCTGTACCAAGTAATTGTGGGATAAAAACATTATATTTAATGTTTATAAATGATGCTGGCAGACTTTATGTGCAAGCTCTGGTATTTTAAAGACTCAAATGCCTGAAAAAAACAAATAAATGTCATGAATATAAAAGAACAAATTAGTGCAGAAGAAATACTTTTACCAATTGTTTTCCCCAACATAAAACCTAGAAATCCGTACAATGAGAACTGTATGTTGAGTGTTACTGTTAATATCTACTGTTTCCTGTATGTTTACCTGATTCTGAAATAGTTCAAATCACTGAGAACAGAGTAGTCAGAGGTTTTACTCAAGTAGGAGTAGCAATACTTTACAAGAATATTACTAAAGTAAAAAGTACCACAGAGTAAACCTACTTCTAAACATGCATTTTTTCATATTGTTACTCAATTAAATGTAACAAATTACTAACAACCTCTTGTTATATTAATGAAATGGCAGAAAAGCTATGGATTTCAATTCAAGGTTGCGAGGAGGTTGAATATGAAATATGAAAAATGGCAAGGAGGGTGAACACTTTACAAGGCACGCCAAAAGAAACAGTTATCGTTTCCCGCTCCACGAGTTTCTTCCAGATCTGACATCAGATTGCTGATTACTTGTACAGGTAAATAAAAAATCTCTACCACCTCCCACACAACCAGCTTCAAAAGAAAAATTAAAGGCAAGAGGAGGTATGAAACATATGAAGCAGAAAGCTTAAATATTTTCAAAAGGATGGAGGCCTAATCTGCAGCCAGAATGAGGCTTTAGAGCCCAGGAGGAGTTAATTCATCAAGCTCTGAATCTGTGGAATACAAACTCTAGACTAGGACTGAAAGCACAATTGCTGAAAAGAGATCAATCTGAAAGCCATGTTCTACAACAAACAGCTGTTATTAAGTGACATTACTGTACATCACTTCCAATTTTATATTTTTACCAAACTCAAGGTGTTCTTGAAAATTTGACATGCCATATATTGTACAAAAACTTATGATTAGCTATTAAACAGATTTTGTGGCACAAACTGTTAAATGCGTTAACAGAGTCAGTTATAACCCACAGTATGTCACTGTCTGAAAGCATTCAAGTCTGACTGTAAACTGTCTGCAGGTATTGATAAGATATTCCTAGGATTTAACTGAGTCCTATCACTGAGGCCTCTGTCTCACATGTTAAGATGAAGGACATGAATTAGATGGGTTTACCTTTTTAATACATTTAGAACAGTCTGTAATTTTATTAATATACATTGACACGTATGAGTGCACGAATTAAAAGTCAGTCTTCCATTAAAACTTTTAATGTGGCATCTCTGATCCCGGCGGATCCTGCGGTTCTGGCTCATTGTCTGTGTACTGATCAGTGTCCTGCTGCGGCTCCTGCTGCTGCTGGATGAGTCCTCCGTCTTGAGCTGTGTTGTAGGAGCCACATTCAGCGCACTTCATCCCCAACACATGAAAAGCCACGGTGCAGTGGGTCTGGCAGTCATTGCAAATTACCTGCAGGGAACCAAGTAAACAGCTGATGAGAGACACCTGAGGAAGAACTTTTAAACTACTTAATTTGGATTTGAGTCATTCCTCATTGATTAAAGGGTCCTGCAAAGGTTTTTCATACAACTACAACAATTTCTCCAATATTCTCATGTTATATTCAACATGTTTTATGTTATATTATCCTTTTACTTTGGTGGTTCATCCAATCTGAAGCCGCAGGAATAAAAAGATCAGCTTCTCCTAGTCTAACATGCTGGGTTCTTGACAGGAAAAGGGTGGCTCTTTTCATTCAAGTTACTTTGAAGCAACTTCTTTTTTTGATTGAATAATAAAGACACAAATGTCCTACCCCTTATATTGTCCAATCAAAAAACAATGTTACTTCAATTTAAAAAGTTGCTTTAAACAAAAAATACTGCACTTCTATCAAATTAAACATTTTCAAAGAAAAGCAGTGCTTAAATGTATTTTTTGAGTCTCAAATATATTTTTGCATTCAAATATTTTTTTTCTTTGATTGAAAGGTTTTATTTCATTGAAGTGAAGATTTTTTTAATTGAAAATGTATTATTTGATTGAAGAAACCTTTTTTTTGATTGAATAATAAAGAAAAAAATCTACCTTCATAGCGGCAAACTTTTTTTTCCAACCAAATGAGCAAGTGTAGATGTTTTAGCTTCATTTCACCAAAAAGTCACACATTGGCAGTAGAATCTTTTGCAGGAAAATTTTCTGCAGCTGATTTTTTTTTCCAGCTGAATTTGAACCAGATGAAAATTCAGTGTAAGGAATTTAATGTGTAAAAAAAGTACATTTTTTAAAATTCTGGGCTAAAAAATTCAGTGTTTAAAATTCGGTTTACAAAAAAAGGAAGATTTCAATGAGACTGCTTTTCATCCATAATGATCCTAGAAAAATATGCTGTTCTTGTCCGGAGCACCAGACCTCCAACATGCCACCAGGAGGCAGCGCAGGAAATCCTTGTTCAAAAAAGCTCTCTGCTGCAACCAGCTGGTGAGGAATTTCCCGCTGCCATTTGAAGCAGCTGGAAGTGAAAATAAAATGTTTTTAAAGCTTTTGGCAAAAACTGCAAGTACCAGAATATACAACTAAATATTTTTGGTCGACAGGTTTTAACATTTTGAGTTAATTTGGTAGTTCATAAAAGAAAATTTTTTAGTGTAGCAATAATGGTCAGCGTTCGTTCTCTGTTCCTTCTACACAATAATCCATTCTTCTGGTTTAACTGCCTTGATATTTATTTTTCATATGCAGAAGCAACGATAGCTTGCAGGTAGCGTCTGTGTTCCAAAAAAACTCCTGGATCTTTTCTGATGGTTGACGCACCAGTGTACATTGAACTGCAGCATCAAACGCTCGGATGCCAGAACGCTCGGATGCACAGCTCCCAACGCGGTCCCCAATAGACTTTGCATGTAGATTAGATGTTTTGATGACCCTCAAAAAACACAGTGGACCAAACCAAATGATGACAAGGCACTAAACTACATTGGCCGGACAATAATGGTGTTTTGTTTCCTTGTCTGTATTTGCTTATGTGAAGTGCATGGATTGCCACTTGTTCTAAAGGTTAAATGTTTGTTTGTTGTGTGATAAGTTAATAAAGGTTTCTATTTTGTTTAAATAGAGACTTGTGTTACATAGTTATAATTTTCTTATTTGTATCGTGTCAATGCAGGAAGAAAAAGCAATATCGGCTATAAAGCTCCCTCTACTTCTTAAGTATCCACCCAAGTTTGTATTTATATTCGTTTCTGATGTGACCGTTCTCTTCTAATCATCTTGGTATAAATATGCTCACATGGAGAGATCTGTAACTCCAGTTTAATAGGCAACAAAGCTTTTCTGGCTTACATTTCTCAGTCTCCTGAAAGCCAACCTTCTTTACATTGATGATGTCTTCCAGTTTTTTGAACCGTGCTCCTGAAGAAACACTGCCCTGCATGTCCTGGATGTTTCCCAGCTTTCACACACCTGAATTCCTTTGACAGAAGATTCACAGGGACAACTGAACTACTATTATCTGAATCAGGTGTGTTAAAGCAGAGAAACATCTAAATAAATGGGAAACTTTGCTTTGAGGACCAGGCTTGAAAAAAGCTGGTGTGGTCTACTGACCTAGGCGGATGCCCTGAACTTAAGGAAACCAAGATGGAATCTTTAAAAAAAGTTTGAGAGAAAAACATATGCAAAAACCTAAAATAAGACTCCATAGTGTGCATGCTGTGCCTTTTGACAATGCTGTGACACAGAAACACACCAAAGCTGTCGATAAAAAAAAAGAATTGCATGAGCAGACAACCCAACAAATTAGGCCTAAATTGAAACAATCTGTGGCTGTAACAAAACAATACATTCAAGGGGTAGAATATTTATGTAAATAACTATAATTCTCCTTTAGAGTAATTTTTAATTTCTATTTCACATGATCATTTTGAATTACATTCAGTCTGAGCAAAAACCATTATAACTTATCTTTGAGTCAATAAAATAATCTAGAACTTCATAAAGTTGAATTGGATGAATGAACTCCGAACAGAGAAAAGAACCTGTTGACTTGATAGTGAGTTCTTACTTTGACAGTAGCGCCTTGATATTCAGTGGGCATTGGTGTCTGGGCAATCTCCTTATCTATCAATTCCCAGTGTTCGTCCATGTTCCAAGCAGAATGCATGCACAGAGGACAGCGGTAAGCTCTAAAACAAACATGCAGACAAAGAAAGCAGCTTAAAGACTTCATTCAATAAAGTGCGGCCTGATCACTCTAAATCTGAATGTAAATAAACTTTGAGGCCAGATCATTTCACTTGTGCCACAAAAACAATGTGTCCAAGTCTTCGACTAAAGTAATGGAATACTTTAAGAAAGAAAGGTTGCTTCCTGATAACATTGGAGACTGAAAATATTCAAATTAAGTTAAAATCAACAGCTACATAAAAAGAGCGACTACTTAAGGGCTAATTTCAGCAAACTAAATGTAAAAAATTTTTTTTTAAAACAAGACATACCCTGTTCTGATCATGTCATCAAAGCAAGTCCTGTGAACAAAGACAAAAGTTACATTTCATATCAAAGCGGCTGAACCAGCACTGACTGTTCCTGAGCCTGAAGGCAGTGACCAGTCTGAGACAAAAACATGGTGGACGTCTAGCAGGTTAAGAATCTCACAGAGAATTTTTTCTTTATGAGAATTTAAACATACAGATTAAGTCATCATTATTTGCATTCGATTCAGTGCTCCCCAACTGATTTAGTGGAAAAGACATACTAAGACACATACACTTAAAACCCTTCTGGACATTTTAAAGCAATACAATGACTTCCTGTCGACTGGTTCAGATCAAATGTTTTTCCTCTTACTTGTCTATTTGGTAATTAAAGTGACCACATATTCTTAACAGGTTCTGTTCTCAGTACATTTCATACAGGCATGTCATTGTTAATGTCCAACCTGTATTCCACGTGTAAATAACTCTCACCTTTTGCAACTGTAACCTTTTGCAAATGAAGTGATGATGTAGCCTGTGCATCAGATGCTGTGATGCATTTGAGTTTCTGGGACTAACAGTCTAGTTGGGACTAGCTTTAGCCTTTAGCTATAAAAACTCCTGGGTATATACAGTAAAATTAAGAAATATATATTTTTACTGCAGAAAATATATGTTTTTCCTATTTTGGCTTAAATTCACAGCAGCTTTTGATGCCGGAATCATAACCATACCAATATTAAACCTCTTTTTTAGAAACAATATTTCAGCCAACACTAGTAGTAAACTTACTTGGATAATGTCAGATAATCAATTCATTGATCACCCGAAAAGGTTTACACGAAAAATGTTCTAAGGGGCATTCAATGAAATCCAAAAACAAGCAGCTTAAAAAAAGAAATTATCTAATTTGTTGCATTAAAAGCCGCATCTAAACTGTGGAAGAATGCATTGTTCAACCTCCCCTAATGAAAAATTACTGCACACCTCATACTACGTCTTTTAACAAAAAAGTTTGTTTCCGAATTCTCCTCTGTACTGTTTTCTTTTTAACTTAATTTTCTGTAAAACATTGGAAAATATGTTTTTGCACTTAAAAAAAACACATTTTTATCATTTTGAAAGCATTATGGCAGCTTTATTTTAATAATTTCACCAATTACTGGTCCTAGACTCTAGTTAGACACACAATAATAACTGATGATATAAACCAGTCTTACTTGTGTAAAAGATGGCCGCAAGGAAGAACATGAGCTCCAATCCTGGATGTGTGTATATCCTTTGCATAGACAAACAAAACATTTTAGATGAAAAGATTAATTCCCAACAAAACCTGTAGAAAATACACATTAACACTTTACATGTGCGATTACCTCCATACACACTGGGCAGTTCTGTCTAGATACGTTCTCGACACACTGAAATAAAGAACACCAGCCAATAAGCAAATACATGTACATCATTAAAAATAAAATAAAAAAAACTAAAAAAAAAACTCACCTTGTGGTTTCCTCGCAGATCCTGAGCTAAACACAAATTGCACTTCTCACAGTGAAAGTACTTCTCTCTGGGCCCAATCCTGTAGAGGAAAAAGCAGAAGTGATTTCCTTTGAAAGTTTAGCTCGCTCTTTGTTCTGGGGATTCTGCATCACAACTATAAATCTATTGTCTTTGACAGATGCCTTAAGGGAACAAATTTAACGATGCTGCTTCGTTAAATGGTCCACTACCTGTAATGTGGAAAAAAAAAAAAGAGCATCACATTAAATACAACTGTCATGTCTGTTACAAATCAATTAAGAAAATAGTGATTCTTGATTATCTTTTCTAAAAAAAAAAGTATTTCAAAAAGCAAACACCATTAAACTCTTAGTTATTTGTACAACTGCTCACCTGCATATCCCACACGGCTGACAGTGGTACTGCTTCTTATCCTTGTCAAACAGGTGACAGATGTCGCAGTAATACTCCCCAAACTGCACATGGCACTGCTGACAGTTCTTCTGAGTCTAGAGGACCGAGAATAAACAGTTTACTTGGACCTTTAGAATGTACTGAGAACTAATCACAGATCAGAACAGAGACTTGAATAGAACATGTAACTTTTTTATTCCCACAATGATGACTGTTTGAGTCAGAAGTTTACAACCATCCATTAGAGTTTGAATGAAAGTGAGGGTAATTTGTTAATTTTTTATTTTTACACATTGAACTGTGTGCAAAAGTTCCAACTAGTTGTGGAGGTTCGCACCGCCATGACAAACATCAGCATTGATCAGTGAGCTCTGGTGATAATGGTTGTTATCGGGGATTTTGAAGAAAAGAAAAAGTCAAATATCCAGCTGTTATTTGTCCATAAGGCTGCTGATGGTTTCACAAATGGTGTGGTTGAACTGTTTAAAATAAATAAATAAAACTTTTAAAGCTGCTTGTTGTGTACCATAATTTGACTGTAGCAAAATGGCATCATTAAAAGCTACATTTTAAAGCACAATAACACTGATGATGACTTTATCTAAACCTCTGGCCAGAATCAGAATTTCTTTATTGTTTTATTGTAGCACAACAAAATGTCAAATAGTTCTAACAAGCTCACAAAAACCACAAACGAAAAAGCATTTAAATAAAATAAAGCAGTTAGCAGAGGAGGGGATATAAAGAGATAAGAGAATAAAACACTAAATATAGAATAAAAGATAGGAATTTAAATAAAAAAAAAATACCATGATATTATGTTTAAGTTATTCCAGGAATTTTGGACATGAACAATAATACACTTGATGTGTAAAAGAATGTTTTTCTGTTGCAATGGGAATGGTGATTAACCTTTGTTCAGGGTTAGGTTGCATTTCCTGCATTCAGCTTCATTCATTTTTATTTACTTCAGGTTATATATTTAGTGCCAGCCAGTTCATAACACGTGTCATCTATAAGCAAAGAACTTTCAATAAATTTCTCTTAATCAATATGAAGAGGAATCAATTATTTTTTATAAAAATGTATCCCATTCTAATAATACCTTATAAAACACCAACATGCTTTCTAAATTAAATTAAATACTTTGCTAAGACTGTCCCTGAGCTATGTCTATCTCATTTACCTTCTGCAGGGTCTCACACTCGGAGCACAGAACCTCTCTGACTTTGAAGCGATCCATCTGGTGGTTTTCTTCTGCATCGTGGCAGAGTCGACACACATACAGTTTCCCACAGCATGGAGCCTGAGAAAAACAAAACGCACCTTCATCAAACAATCACAAAACAGTATGTTTACCGCAGTAACTTTGATGAGTATTTACTGATTAGTTTGCCTTTCAAGTTAGTAGCCCTATTTCCGTTCAATTAATACTTTGCCATGTTAAATGGAGGAAAAAAATAGAATTCATTGTAGTTTTAAAACAGTACGATTAGTCCTTTGTCCTTTTTTATGCCACCCAATAGTTAAAAATCTGTAGTAAAGAACATAAATCTTGAAACTCAAATAAGCTGTGCAGGAAAGAAAAGCCCTCCTCTATCTTTCTGGTTTTCAATGTGAAGGACAGAAAGATTTGCACATTAGTTTAGATCAGTCACAGTGTGGTTACCTGTAGGTCCCTCCAATGTCTCATTTTATAAAGAATTGCTGTCCTACACAGAGTAGGTAAAGTGGGAACAGTTAATTGGCATAGCTTCAAAAACACTTACGATTAGGTTTCAGATTTAAGATATACACTTAAATTTAAGATACATTTATTGGATGTAAGCTTCAGATATAAGATATAGTTTAGATATAAATATAGAATTTAGAAATAAATGTCACAGACATATATAAATTTGGCCTGTAGAAATAGATTTAATAGACAAATATAGATAAATATTTATACATGCGTTGAACACCGACGCACAGTTTTCCAAAAAAAAGGAAAACTTTTCTGACAAAATGTAAAAGAAAAAGTGCTAAATGTAGAGTGTCTGGTAAATAACTTTTTTAATAATTTGCTACATTTCTAAGTTCTGCGCATCATAATTTTATTTTGTTTTAAGTATGCGTCTGGGAGCAACATAATAGGCAGTAATTATTGCTGTGATTTCCCAAAAATGTAATGTGTAATATGCCTTCTTTGCACTGTCAATATTTCATACTGTACACCTAATAGTAATGTTATAATGCTCCTACATGGATCCATTTAATCCACAATTTTCCTCAGGGTAATGGCTCTCTAGCTTTCTGAAATGGAAAAGCCAGGGTGCGCAGGAATTTACCCCAGAAATGAATTGCCACTAACCCTCCTTTGGTCAAATGTGTCAAACTCAAAGCCAGCAGGCTAACTCAGGGCCATCACTCTCATTTATCAGGCACTCAAGAGCCTGACATCTCGTCATGAAGCAAAAGCACTTGTGGCTAAAACTGAAAAACACCAAATTAGTCCAAAAATAAAATTAGTTTGACAGATCTGCTCTAAATACTCCCAATCACCCTTTTACCACAGCTAAGCAACATGGCCGAATTCTCCTCCATGCAAAGGCTAATTCAAAATGAACATTTAAATCCATAGCTTGAATAAGCTTTCATAGACTGCAGTACTGGAGGGTGCAGACCTCTTCATTGACTGTGCGGCAACTTGATGTCATCTAATTGATTCTAAATGTACTGAATGACTAAAGTGAAATTAGAATATGGTGAACCTTGGAGATGTTAATATGTTACATTAAACTGTAAAATTCTAATAAACTCATATAAGAAATTAATTACTAAAGTGTCCTAAATGTGTAAAATGGGAAAGCTGCGTCTAGGTGACTCGCACGCAGCGGCTAAGCTAACTTGTCAGATAGTACCAACACTACGGATAAGACCACGAGTTTCTTCTTTGGTTGTTTTTACAATGAAAACTTATGGAATTTTGGTAAGAAACAATAACTGATAAGTCACGGTAACGAACCAAGCAACGCTTGAGTCACAAACAGGAGAGCACCGATGCAGCGTCAAAACGGTTCATAACTGGACAACAAGTTTCTTCTCAACCGATTAATGTTTTAGTTAGGCATGGCAGGAAAAGTATATTTCTAAGGTTCACTCACTTTCAATAGACAACTGCGAACATAATGCTTACAGCCGACGGGCGAGGCCATGTTTACTCAGACATATATCTCTTCTTCGGGTGCTTTCTGTTACCCACCCCCTTTCTTCTTCTTGATTTTCGCCTATCGCGCGTTTGCAATACTGCCATCTGCTGGACTGAAAAGTAAGCAGAACTGCTGCATTAACTTATGGGTCAATTTAAACAAACACACAAACAAATAAATAAATGTGCTCGTGTTCCTGAGTTTAACAGGAACACATTTCTATTTCATAAGAATCAATTAAATGAATTTGGATTACTGAGAAAGAAGCTTTTTCGAGGTTTGCCTACATTATAGCTTCAGGATCAAGATGATGGTATTTTTGAGACAAATATTTCTTTAGGAGTAGGTTCACTGCTTTTTTTGTTGTTTTTTTTTTTGTTACTTTTTTCGGGTAATGCCATTTGAAATTATTGCTGCTCTTGCATCTAGACTTTAGACTTAAACAAACTTTATTAAATATCGTTTTGTACAGATCTCATGAAATTTCAATTTCTTAGAGTGCAGCAGTGATCGGGCAAGTAAAGAATTTCTGGCTACTCTACCCATTGGATAAATTAACTGACTAAAGAACAGATTTGTTCAAACCAAAAATTAAATGAAATTTAATTTATATTTAAAGCGGCAATTCACAACACATGTCATGTCAAGGCACTTTACAGTTCACCAGATCATACAGTCAAATTGAGTCAAAGTTTTCTATCTAAGGAAAACCAGTTGATTGCATCGACTCATTGACTAGAATGCAATCCCTCACACTAAGCATGCTTGTAGCGACAGCGGAGAGGAAAAACTCCCTTTTAAAAGAAAGAGAAACCTCCAGCAGAACCAGGCTCAGTGTGAACAGCAATCTGTCGAGGCCGACTGGGGTTCAAGGAGACAGAAGCAGAGATTCAAAAAGCAACTGCGAAAGGCAGCCCCATCCAGGAAACACACAGCCAGGCAGACGAGCTCCGAGCCAACTCCTATGTCAGAGGATGAAGAGAGCACACCCAGCTAGTCACAGTCAAAGAAACAGGACTACACTGAAAAATAGGCAGATCTCAAACATCTATAAACAAAGGTGCTGATGGCAGCAGCACAGCTGATATTCCTCTCCAGAATTGTGTCACAGCCAAACAGGAACAGATGAGGTGAAGGTACTATGAGAAAAAGCAGAGAGAGTATAACATTAGAGATTGAACTAACAGACTCTGCAGAGTGGGAGAATAAGGATAGAATGCAGCAAAATGATGAAATAGGGGGTTCCCATGTCCTCCAGAAGTCTAAACCTATAGAAGCATAACTATAGATAGCTCAGGATAACCTGAGCCACTCTACCTAAAAGCTTTATCAAAAAGCAAAGTTTTAAGCCTAGCCTTAAAAGTAGACAGGGTGTCTGCCTCACTGATTAAAACTGGTAGTTGGTTCCACAGGAGAGGAGCCTGATAACTAAAAGATCTGCCTCCCATTCTACTTTCAGAATTTCTTGAAACCACTAGTAAACCTGCAGATTGACAGCGAAGTGCTCTGTTAGGGACATAAGGAACAATCAGATCTCTGATATAAGATGGAGCTTGGCCATTTAAGGCTTTATATGTGAGAAGGAGAATTTTAAATTCTATTCTTGATTTAACAGGAAGCCAATGAAGAGAAGCCAGGATAGGAGAGATATGATCTCTCTTTTTAATTTTCATCAGAACTCTGGCTGCAGCATTTTGGATCAGCTGAATGGTTTTAACTACAGTTTGTGGACTTCCTGATAATAAAGAAAAACAGAGCAAACAAGGAAAAACACATTTTGAATGTTAAG